AAGTCCCGACTAATATAAATTTGTAATATGTAAGCCCATCAAAGAGGGAAACATTTTCTACCGGAACTTTTAACCAAATGAGTAAATATATTAGGCAAAATATATCGGCAACCCCTTAAAGTTGTTCATATTTTTTCACTTAGACGCTTTATCTTAACTTCTTTCCATTTGAACACTCTAACCACATCTCAAATGTGTCATTTAGACACAAACTTAATAGGCAACCACCACAAAAGATGCGTATAATTCACACACCAAAGTGACAAATAAGAAGCGGGAACGTGGATTTAACGTAAATAAATTTTAAAAAAAATTTTGAAAAAGAAAAGAAAAATGAGTAAAAGAAAAACAAGAACGCACCCCCGGTCATCTTCCCCGACGAACCCCCTCCTTTTGCCTTCTTCCTTAGTTTAAGATTTCATGTAACAAATTAACAATCTAAACATATATATTGGAATACTCTGTATTAATCTTCTTTGATGATCTGCAAATTCTTTGCATATGTGATAAATGTAATTCCAAATACACTTACAGATTTCAAGTGGCAATTGAACCCAATTATATAAATCTAAAGGAAAGTTACGGGAATCATTCCCATTTACATTGGTGAAAACCCAGTTATAAATTAAAAATAAAATAATTTTTTTTGAGAAGAGATGTTAATGATAATTTGAAAATCGGAGCAAAAATGCCTAAAATCATGAGTAGCTTCATAAAATTTGCTTTAAAATCAGTTAGATTTTGATCAAAACTAACTCAAAAGAGCTAGCATTCTTAAAAGAGAGAGAAAGCATTTGTTTAAAGTTGTGGAAAAATTTCATCAATGTTCATCGCCTGAGCTTAGTGTTTTTCGAAAACCGAGATTGGTCGGGGTGGGTGGGGTTGGGAGGGAGGGGCCAGAGAGAGTAGATAGCATTTGGAAAGTGAAGAGTTTTTTTTTTTTTTTTTACTATTTCACGCGCTTGAAAAATGTGAGAAACACTTACCTTGCCATGTCAGCTTTTTATGTCTAAATGACATATGGTTAGAGCGTATAAATGGAATAGACTTAAGATTGAGTAGCTAAGTGAAAAGTGTGAACAACTTTAAGTATCTGTCAATGTATTTTGCCAATATATTAACCATTTGGTCCATCAAGGAAATAATGAAGTGACGAAAACATCATAATTCGAAATGCTACATGCTCGAATCCAATATCCAATCTTCCAACTGTTGTCCAGTTAAGTTCTCCCCACTTTCAGTTAACTATGTGAAAAAACAAAAATATAGTGACAATTTGTGATGATCAACTAATAGTTATAATCAACTAATCGAGTAAGAAATGATCTTGCTGGAATATGACACAATCTTTAATGCGAGAATATATATAATGGTGAGGCCGAGAACAGGCTAGGAATCTAGTTATAGATTTTAGCTCCAGTAGTTTCGAATATGCCTCAAACTTTTACTTTCCTTCACCGAGAACAATTTCTACTAACTTGTGATAGGCCACTTTAGAATCGGTGATTGCAAGAAAAGGACAAACTGAAAACATAATGCTGAATAGTGTAGCTTGTTAAAAGTAAGCTATATCTAGGGGCGGAGCCACAGAGCCGATTACGGATTCGGACGAACCCAATAGCTTTGGTTCAAACCTTGTATTTTTTTAAATTTATTTTATTAAGTATGTACAAATATTAATTTAGAACTCAGTAACTTAAAATGATTAGAATCTCGAACCCATAAACTTGAAATCCTAGCTCCGCCTCTGACATCCTATATCTTTTTTGTTGCTCCTTACAAGCTATACTTATCATCGTGGCCGAATTGCCAACAAACATAGATGAAACGAATTTGCTATTATATCTACATACAGAATAAGTTGGGTTTTAGAAATAGAAAGGGAAAAGTTTGGATTCCTCATGCTTTCAATTGTCTGACTCGAAATGCTGCCAATTCCAATCTATTCAGATGTAGTAACCCCCTAATTTGTCTCGGTAATGCTTCAGAATTTAAGGTAGTGATGTGTTGTTTGTGTGTGTGGCTAATGGCGACTAATCTATCGGCAATTTTGTTGGCTTCTCTGTAGCAGTGCTTCACGGTAACCTTCTTTTCCTCCACAAATTCTTTGATTTTGTTCACTGTTTGTAGGAGTCTCCATGGTGTATCTACCTCCTCCTTTACTGATCACACGAGGAGTTTAGAATCTGCTTCTAAAATCATTTCATTTATTCCGATTGCGACGGCCTTTTGTAATCCAATTAGCATAGCCTGGCCTTCCGCCCAATTACTAGTACCAGGTCCCAAATATACTGAGTATGCGAGGATGAGTTTTTCCACACTATCTCGAATAGTACCACCTGCTCCACACAACTACCATCACTATTGATTTTGCATACGAGAGGTGGTGGTTTTTCCCATTTGACAATCTTTTATATTTTCTGATTTATAGGAATTTTCAACATACTCTGAATTCTCTCCCAGTTAGTATTACTTCCTAGTCTTTCAAATTTTTGTTTGACTAACTGGGTGATATTTTGAGAAATGAAACCAATTGATCTTTGGCTGGAATGGAGCTCAGTACTATACTTACTTGCACACCGCGATCTCCAGAGTTCCCAGACCACAAATTGAGGAATGATTTTTGCTACCAAGCTTTCAATTGTGTTCTTTGCTCTGTATGTCATCCATTTCTTCAGTAGTTGAATCAGAAGTGTTCCTCTCCATTGAATTCTAAAAGGTCCACAAAAGTTCGACCACACCTTTTGTGCAAAATCTCCTGAGCAGAAGAGGTGTTCAATGGTTTCGGATCCTGGTGTGGTGCAACAACAACAATGAGCTACCACTGTAAATCCCATTCTCAACAACCTCTCATCTGTAGGTAGTCTCCTAGTCAAGGCTCTCCATGTGATGAATGACATCTTGAAGGGAACATCTTTATGCCAGATCTGGGAGTGAGTATCAACTGTCTCCTTCTTGTTTCTCCATATATCCCATGCCGCAGTTATTGTGAATTTGCCTTTATTGTCTGCTGACCAAATAGCTTTGTCTGGTGTTCCATCGAGAAATTCAACTTCCTCCGTATTTATTATATTTCTGATCGCATCATTCCATTTCACATCACAATTTTTCTCTTGCCACTCCCCATCTACCAACACATCTTTAAGTTTAATGTCGGTGGGTTGTACATTGTCTGGAAGCTGCTTGTACAAGGGGCCGAACTTAGTCCAATTATCATACCAAAAGGAAATTTCTCCTTCACCAACTAACCAAACTAGATGTTGCTCCACTTCATGCTTCAATTTGTACATTTCTTTCCGTTTGATGACTGCTTTCTACCCAACCTTATTGCCACTGGGTGAGAATTATAGCAATATTTGGCAAGTACAAAGTCTTTCCAAAGAGAATTCATTGTTCTCAATTTTCACCAAGATTTTGCTGTAAATGCTTTGCAGATGTCTTCAAGTTTTCTAAATTGAACCTCTCCCTCCTTATATGGATAACATAGTTTCTCCCAGGCTGCCTAATGGTGCCTATCCATCCCAGAAGAGGAGTTCCAAAAAAATCTTGTAAATATCTTCCAGTACTCCTTTAGGTGAATGAATGGTTGATAACAAATGTGTTGGCAAGGCTAATAGAACATGTCTTATTAGAACTGCTTTACCTCCGGTTGATAAAAGTTTAATTTGCCAACTCCTTACTCTGTTTGTCACTTTACTCACCATTTCTGATAAAAGTAGTAAGCTATCTTTTTTCTGCCCGTAAAAAGAGGACATCCTAGGTATTTTATTGGCAAAAATTAAGATGAGTTAAAACTTACAAGTGGTCTTACCTTCGTCCAAAGCATGCACCTAATTAACTTTAGAGAAATTTTTTTTTAAAAAAGGAGATAATTACAAAATATATTAGAACTAAAACATGCATCTTAGAGGAAAATGTGGCTCACACAGATTAGAAGATTTTTGTTTTATGAGCTAATATCATGTGCTGAAAAGGTTTAAGTAATTTTTGTAGAAAATGATACATTTTATGTATTAATTCATTTTGGCGCTATACACCGGGTATAGAAAATTTCTTCTTCTTTTTTTTTTTTTTTCATAAAAAAGTCACAACTACTTGAATTTTCTAAGGTTTATCAATAAGGACAATCTTTGAATTCTAAAGAAAGGGTCAAGTAACCTTATTTTGCTGGATCACAGCTATCGTCGCAAAGTAGGTTGCCAACATTGAACGGCATGCTTACTAACCACACCAATTTTCATGGTTGTCATGGTTTTGTATTTACGTAGATGACATGTATGTATGGTATGCTGAAAATCTTTTCCAAGGTTTTGTATTACGTGGTTAACATATATGGCATTCTTCACTGTGAACATCTTGATCGCCCGATCCTTGCATTATTGGCTAGGAATAACATAAAATGTATGGATATAGCAGCTTGATGTACAAAACATCTCGTATTCACGCACAATTTGGAGAATGACCGCACTCCAAAAGGTGCGATGTAGACAACATTCCTTAATGTAAATATTAGTGGTTGCTTCCAAACTCGAATGCGTGACCTATAGGTAATACATAAATAATTTTATCGTTGTTTCGAGACTCCTCTTTAACACAAAATGTATACCATGAATAAGAAAAAAAATAGCAAAACACTAGATACTGAGAATCTACAACATCGACCTCCACTTGAATAGCCATTGGTCATTAAGCTTGGATATTGGGAGGCGTAGAATAGAAATTGCTAAATCTACTATGGGCCATTTGCACAAATGATCTCTTTTGAGGCACAATTTAGTTCTGTCACCGTTAGCGCAGTGAGCTAAATTTGTCAATGCCATGCAAAGTAACATTGAGCCGTACAAATTGGGACGGAGAGGGAGGAGAGAGTAACTTTTGTGCTTTCAAATTTTGTTGCTTATTTATTTTTATTTTTTTTTACAAGAAACTTAAAAATAAACATTTTGACAAGATGTTTGACTAGATATGGCAATTTAGACATATTAATTTGCAAATTTTGTTAGACAACCTAGTATCTTTTGAACGTGAATTGAAAAATGAATTACTAGTAATAATCACTCATGGAACTCAAGCCAGCCTTGGCAATCACCAGAGATACGAGTACCATTTACCTGGGATGGAGAAATTCGCAAAATCACACAATTATATTTCTTTTGAGAAAGGTCTCAAAGTCGAGGCACAATAAATTGGGTTCCGGTCAAAGCACTCGTTCTGGCCATTGCTAGGTCTTCTTTCAGATCTAAACTGTTCAATCAAATAAATGAGATAGTAAAGGAAAAATATTTTATTATTAATCTCTAAAAGCTCTTTACCATTTTCATAAATCTCCACACATAAAATAAATTAGTAATACCCCTATTTATAATAGTACGAAACATTATGTCAACTAGAAATATGAAAGTGTATTCCTATATTAATTCTGACTACAAATCCTATTTAGACATGAATTAAATAAATCAAATCCTAAATAACTAAGGTTTCCTACTACAACTTTGAATTAGTTTTCAAACAGAATGTGAACGGTTACAACTTTGATAACTTCTATAATATTTGGCTTGACTTTTTCTAACGAAGTGCATCACTATAGCATGTTAGAAGATATTTAATTGCATTGTAATTCCTTTTAGACCAAATAGGTATAAAAATTACAAGTTTAAAGTCAAAATCTACTTAAAGGTGGTAAACTTGAAAACTTTTATCTACATGGAACGGACGTAGTGTTTGTTCTAAAATTCAATATTGAATATGTTAACTAAAGAGAGATAAGTGGAAAGCAGAAAACAATTGCCCAGCCTCAAGTACAAGACAGTTTTGCATAGTGGATCACCAAAACTTCACTAACTTAATTGTACTAAAATGAAGTATACGAAAAGTTAGTCTAGTTTGCTCGCAGAGTCGAATCAAATTTCTGATACAAAGACCAAAATCTTACAATTTACAGGATCTCCATTTGAGTCGTTGAGCATTCAGAATCCAGCTGGTTCGCTAATTCTGTGTAATCATCCTATATCAGAAGAAACAATTAACCCAGAAGATAGAAAGAGTTTTAAGACAAAAATGGCACAGCTAAAAGGAAGAGTTCTTCAATTAATTTCTTAGGCAACTGTTGGATGAAAAGGATAGTAGCACCTACAAGGGTTAGATTTCAGGGCGACAGCATTCAACGTAATTAATATGGAAAATAGCATTAGTGATCCCATAAGTACCTTTTTACAAGCATGAATGATGCCACAAGAACTTAATGTGAGCTAGTAAATCATACCTTTGCTGCAGCAGCAGAGACACTTGCATTGTTAGCTTCACATTGAGGCACTGAGCAAGCTGACAGTGAGGGAGAATAAACAGACTGCAATTGCAAAGGTGAAGAAGTATCTGCAAGTTCAAAAACTTTTTACAGATATGGTGGGAGAAGATTTATCTGAGGATGGATCTACTCGCCTCTGATATATAGCAGTTAATCTTGTTATCCTTCTTCAAGGGGCTCTTTATTGAATCCTCCTGAACTTCTGGCGAGGCTGCTTTGGCAAATTGCACATTATCAGTGAATTTCTGCTCTATTGTTACACTGAACAATCAATCTAGGGAAACGACAGAACTGCAAGTTTATGCCTTGAATTCATAAGCGATGAAGCATAAGGCATTCAAAACTTATTGTATCTTCCTTTTTTAATTTATAGCATTAGAAAATATACACAAAGCTATAAGGTTCCAGTTCCTAAAAGGAAAAGAAACAGGGGAAGTGGAATCAAAATAGAGATAGCTGAAAGCATATCATTCACGAGATGGAGGAGGAAGCAGTTGCAGAACTTGGAGCAAAAAGATGAGTTCTACAAATATACTCGAAGCAAATTGAGTCTTAGTTGTATCATATGGTAGGAAAATATAGTAGTTTGGTGTAAAGGATTAAGGTAGCTTGGGACTGGGCCGTAGGTTTTGTTGGTTGTCGTTGTAAAGGACTAAGCTACACAATGAGCAATTGCCAGACTAACTAAAACACTAAAGCTTATGCTCCTTACAGCATGAAGCAAGGGCGTGATAGGAACCTGTGCTTTCTTCACTCATAGAAGACTTTGGATGAGAGTCTTTCCCTTTGATTTGAGCAGTATCTGGCGTCCTAGTAAGCAAAATGTCATAAATTAAGGAAGAATATTGACAACTTATAACATGCATGACAGTATCTGAAGTATTTAATATGAGCCAGATGAGGGAACAGATAAAAGCCACATGTTGATTTTATTGCCATTTTCTGATCAGCTTACTGATAACCCATTGTTAAGAGAAACCTTTTTGATTGATATTATAGTTGAAAAGAATCAATAGCATGGGACAAACTATGGTCACTTAGGAGAGTTTCTGTCTTTATCTTTGCCTATCACTAGGTAATAGTTACCGTGAGCACAAGAGCAAGAACTATAAAAGATTTCTAAATCAACAATGAATGCAAAAGAAGATATGCAAGCAAATCTTCAAAAAGAAAAGCATATCCTGCTGAAAGCTATCAGAAGGAGAAAGCGTAGGCCGCTGAAAGCTTTGATCATTCTCCTTTTTCTGCGTGGCAAAGAAATGGACTGAGGCTTACACATTCACATCATTCAGTTAGAAAATTAAAGGAGTTATCATATATTCTGAAAATGGTTAGCAAAATGTTATATCCAGGACAAATTCTTCCCGACAGAGATAATTGATAACAAATTCTTTCCAAGAGTCATTTTTGATTGCTGAGAGAGAAATTAAACTTTGATTTAGGAAGTTTAGCTGCATTTACTTTAATTAGACAAAGGTGCTTAAAAGAAAATTCCAACTGTAAATTCAAGATGTTGCTAATCTTCAGTCTTTGCTTACTAAACCAGAATAGTAATCTTTCATTGGAGTTTATAAGAGGCTCAGTCAAACCTTAATTTTTCACTTTGTCTAATTGAAAGGCATTCTTCCTGGCCTTCCATCAGTGAGGTGAATGTCCTTCTGTCCTGGCATTAGAGAAAGATACAGACAAATTAGTAGCAGAAATGAAGCCAAGGAATAACGCAATACATTAAGAGGGAGGCACTTGCACAGCAAATGCATATTTCAACAAAGAGATGAAATGTCAAACTGAAACAACATTAGCTAGGGCCAATGGAATGATTAAACACTGATGATGGCCTAATTATACAAATCAAAGACCTTATCCTTGTTGAGTTGTAAATCATAAGGGTAGTGACAGAATTCATTTGACATAAACAAAAAGAAGAGGTATATAAAGGTGCACAGAAATGTATATATTATCCACAAATGGTAATTTGGGGCTTGCTTGAGCAGATGTGCTTAGAACTACATAATCTCTCTGTTATAGTTACTGGAGTTGGTACATCAGAAATGATTGATCACATGGACTAGATCTGCCATAACACAGAAAAGTCTATTTTCCAAGAATATTCTCAAGTTATAAGCAACTGGCAGAATTCACATCGGGCTAAAGTCAAGCAGCATTTGAAAGGTAAATCCTGAGGAAAAATGAGAGTGTGTTCAGACCTCTTCACTCATACGAGTGACGGCATCTTGAATCTTTTTTATGACAATGCCTAAGCTTCCTATTTCAGAATGCAGTCCCTGATAATTACCCATCCAGAAAGGTAATAGGTCAAGTTAATAATCTGAGTTGAAATAATAATATACCTAGGCAAACTACTATGCAAACCTTGTTCTCTGAGATTAAGTTCTGTAGAAGTAGTTCTTTTGTGGATATCTCTCTCTGAAGGTATGACTAGTTAAGGAGGCATGCCATAAATAAGGGAATGTGAAAGAACATTGCCGAGACCTAATAAAGCATAAGGGAGCACGAACTGCTTCCATCAGTTAATGGATATCTGTATGATCTTTGGTTGGAACTCCTTGCTAAGAATTGCTGCCTCAAGTTCTGCCTCCAGCTCTCGTATTCTTTTAGCTTTGGTTGTGAGTTCCACTTCATTATTCATAAGTTTTCTTTCCAGGTTGTTGGTCTTTTCTGCAAAATTATAGCACTAGTTTCTTAGGTACCAACAGCTAACTTCTTACAATCAGAAGTCTGTAATTAATTTTCACATAACTAACCAACTTTGAAGAGCAATGATGGAATTTACACCGAAAAAGCGTGTAATGAATGACAATTGCACCAAACAAGAAGTCTTAAGCAAAATTATGGAATGATACATAGAACAAAAACTAAACCCTTCTTGGATTCATGATTAATTTATGCTTATACATCTCCCCTATATGTACTTACACCTAGAGGTATATAGATGGACAATAGGTATCGATACCCCACATATATGACAAGTATCTAGATGGACTACAATAAGAGCAATCCTGAGAAAACGAACCAGATGTTCTGTATTATAAAATGACCTATGTAGATAGATTTATGGCTAAAGATGTCTGATGGATCAAATAGTGTCTATTCTAGTAATATCCTATTCTGATGTGTCGCTAAATGCTGAATACAAGACTAAATGAGCTACATGCCAAGGCAAATAAGGATAAGAAATTACCGACAAAAAGTTTCTCAAAAGTAGAAACCTCATCCATTTTCCTCTTTAGCCCAGCCACTGGACATGACAAGAGAAATTGAGGAAAGTAAAAAAAGAAAAAAAGAAATCGGTGTCTGTGAGCAAGTTTATGAATAGATAGATTGCTGAGATTGAATGAATGAAACCTTAAGAAAAGAAAGCTACATGCCTACATCCTCCTTTTGACTGAGAGCGTGTCTAGCATCATCCATAAGTTTATTGATGGAGGAAGCCTCCTTTGATATTGAATCGAATAATAACAAATGAACTCTTAACGTTTCAGATAGAATACCAATTTTTCTATCTCTGTCTTCAATAGCTCGCTTCATTTCATATGTAGAGTCCTGCATGTTCATTGTAGCAGAATTGAGTAACTATTTTGGGGAGATAGCTAAGAAGTTTAGCTTATTGGTTGAAAATGACATCACACAAGTTCTACGGAGTACAATTTTTGCTATCTCTTAAGTTTAAACAAGCATATACATGAGTATCCACGTGGAAGGTAGCAGGGACACAGCAGATCTAAGATCTAAGGCAGCAAAAATAGCTGCCAAAGGGACAAAATTTTTGGAAAATTATCTAACAAGACGTTCAGCTCTGCGGAAATACATGATCCAATCTAGGAACTGCCACCTGAAGAACAAAGACTTTCTTCCGGTTACAGCATGCACCTGACCAGAGGCGGATCTAGAATTTTAATTTTATCGGTTCAGGACTCCAATTTCAATTGAGCTATCAATTTATAGTTCAATATTTTCAGCAATTTTAATGAATTTTACACAGATAAATTCAGGTCTAGACTAAAAGTTATGGGTTCATTTGAACCCAACCTTGGGCAACTAGATCCGCCCCTGCACATGACCTCATAACATTCAGTTGCTGGTTACAAGAGTTACTGTTCCAGATTTTGGAAATAAACAAAGTTACCAGGAAAGTTCCGTTTTCTCTTTCCTATATTAAGAGACGGCAATGCATTTTCATAATGCTAGAGTTTGGTAACTTCTCATTAAAATTTAGAGCCCGAAATCAGATAAAACAGAAATATCATGAACCAGCAGAACAAACCAGAACATCAGTCATGAAGGTAAATATATGAATTAACAAAATCTACTTTAACCAATCTGGCTTAGCATTACAAAATGCTAACCTCATAAGCCTTCAGAAAATCTTCCCTTGATTCAAGCAAGCTTTGTAAAGTTCCTTCCAATTCCTTCTTCTTGTTCTCCAGCAAATTATTCTCATTCTCTAAGCAAGTTACCTGTATTAATTTGTGACCTCTAACTTCCGTTCTGAATGATACAAATTAATAAACGTCTAGGTGAGCAGAGGCACAACCAATATTTGAACTTTATGGATTCGAAATTGTAACACAACCTATTTGAATTACTTCGTTCGAAATCTATTATTTGTACTTAGTGGATCTCCAAAGCTGAACCCATTACTTCAACACTATATCCGCCCCTGTAGGTGAGATACGGATCTAGAATTTAGAGTGATTAAATGCACCTCTTAGTATATACACACATTATAGCTCTAAATTAATATATCACACACGCGCGAATTTTTAAAATGCTTTTTTTTTTTTATGAAAGTGATGTGCACGCATCTTGACTATTCCACCGGATACCTGCTACCTCCCACCAGCATAGGTACGGGATGACTCTACCACCAAGGAAATCATCTAATGTGTTTTGCCTCTGCTGGGATTTCAAGGTGAAACCTCATGGTCCTCCTTCCATTTCAAAGACCACTAGGCCACACATACATAATTTGAGTTTGAGATAATAAATGCACGTGAACCCTCTGTTTATATGCTGGATTAGCCTCTACGTTCGTGTAGCGTATAATGATAAGAGTCAAAGATGAGTAGTAAATTGTACTTTACCTTTCTTTCCAGCTTATGCCTAAGTTCATTAGAGAAACCTAACTCAGCACGAAATTCCGTCAATTTTTGATTGAATTCCTCCTCCGATTGCTTTTGCTTCTGTTATTCACACATCAAAAAACTTCTTCGGCGGCTAGAAGTTTTACATATAAATTACTAATAAGTGCATAGATGCGAGTGATTCGAATGAACCTGTAGTGCGAGTTGGACTTGTTGAGAGGCATTGCGTTCCTTTTCCTGCAATAAAAGTTCATAGAAACAGTGTGAGCTGTAATGGAGAAAATTGATGATCAGTTATGGAGATGAGAGGTGATGATGAAATGGCGGTTTTACTTTGAGTTCACGAACTTCACAAATTAGGGCGTGGAGTTGGAGCTTGAATTTGGAGAGCTTCAGGAGCTCCATTTACCCGCCAAAATTCTCCGAGTTTTCAGTGGCGTTGAGTTGGTTTAACTTCGTAATTTTACAACTTTATTACGTCTTCATTCCTATTTGAAGTTTTGAACTGAGTAGTTAATACTTACTACAGTATCTTTTATAACAGCGACACTGTGTAAATTAAGTACTACCATTTCCATGTAATAAACTGAGCTTTATATATGCTCTCTGTTTCACTTTACTTGATATTATTATTATTATTATTATTTAACCGCATTTTTTTCTATTTTATAGAAAAAAATTATTTTTGTTTTTAAATAAACAAATGTTATTTTAATTAACCCGAGTGCCTTACCCTTCACACTTCAAAGACCTTTCAATATTTTTGGAAGCTGAGGACGCGGGTGGGAATGGAACCAATGACCTCATAATGGTTTTGAACTCCTTGATCACTAAACTATATTTTTGGGCGGTGGGAAGGGGATTCAAAATATAATATATAGAGATAAAAATCAAATTTACAGTGTAATTTTTCGGCGAAGGATGTTCGCACCCTAGCACCCCTAAATAAGCCCCTGGCTGAGGATACGTTTCAAAGCAAAATAATCTCTTATTCACTTTTTACATTCAAAAAAAAAATGACAGAGTTCACATATATACACTGAAAAGAATTTAAAATATTTACGTAATTTTTTCTTTAACGAAACGAAAGTTTGGGGGAAAGTTTATCTTTTACGAAAGAAACAGAAAATAAATATTTTCACATTATCATGAGGGCCGAAGGTTAAACTTACCGGAGGGAAGTGCACAGTTAGCCACTAATTAAAGATGCTTTTACGATTTAGATACTATTTAAAATGTATTTACTCTTTAGTCCGTACTTAATAATTTTTTACCTGCCCGGACGAAAATAACCCTGTGCTAGACATGGGTGATGTGTAAATATTAAAGATATGGTGCCCTTAACTTCACGAATGCTGTGTAAATATTAAGGGCAAAGTGTTATGTATTTGCACCTTCCGTTGTTAAACTTTAGGACATCATGTCCTTAACTTCATATGCTCAGTGTAAATGTTAAGGACATGGCGTCCTTAACTTCATGTGTACAGTGTAAATGTTAAGGACATAATATCTTTAACTTGTATTTGCATCTTCTATTGTTAAACTTTAGGACCTCATGTCCTTAACTTCATATGTGCAGTGTAAATGCTAAGCACATGGTGTTCTTAACTTCATGTGTGCAATGTAAATATTAAGGACATAATGTGCTTAACTTTATGAGTGTTGTGTAAATATTAAGGACATGATGTCCTTAACTTTATGAATTATGTGTAAATATTAAGGACATAATGTGCTTAACTTTATGAGTGTTGTGTAAATATTAAGGACATGATGTCCTTAACTTTATGAATTATGTGTAAATATTAAGGACAAATTGTCTTGTATTTGCACTTTCCGTTGTTAAACTTTAGGACATCATGTCTTTAACTTCATATGTGCGGTGTAAATATTAAGGACATGGCGTCCCTAGCTTCATGTGTGCAGTGTAAATATTAAGGACACCATGTCCTTAATATTTACACAGCACTCATGAAGAAAGGGTATAGTAGTGACGATTTTTTATCAGCATTAAAAATATTGAATAAAAATTAAATACCATATTAAAAAGTGATTATCCTAAGCCATTTCTACAACTTATAACAACCCTTTGCAATACCTTTGGGCTCATGAATGTCCAACAAGATCTTCGAGGAGAAGTTAAATAGTGGTCCACCAAAATAGTAGTTGATAAATATACATATTATACATAATTAATAATTTATAGTGCATGTATATTGGCTAGGGGCCGTAAATATTTTACTATAAATTTGTTAAAAGCACATCTTTGATTGGACTATGTTGGGACTAAGGGTGTGTTTGGTACGAAGGAAAATGTTTTCATGAAAAATGAGTGATTTTATTACTTATTTTCCTTTGTTTGGTTGGTGAGTGGAAAACGTTTTTCGTAAAATATTTTTTAGTATTTGGTTAGAGAGTAGAAATATTTTTTTATGGTACTCTCCTCAGCCCCCTTCCCCAAGTCCACATATTTCCTNTAGGGATGGGAAATAGGATGGGAAAAATTGAAAAAGAGTTTTGAAAAATGTTTTCTCTTCTCTTGATAGGGAAAACTCCAATTGGAGGAAAATGACTTCACGAAAAAAATATTTTCCAAAATATTTAAGCCAACCAAACATGAAAAAATTGAAAAATATTTTCGAAAAATATTTTTCTTTGTACCAAACACACCATAAGACCTCGGACCTAACAAATGAAAAAAATTAACATGATTGGAAATGGAAAAAAACTTCACTTTTTAAATCCAATAATGTAATTAGCTAAATGATTACTATTACCTCATAAAATGGTTCTTATGTAGCGCCCCCATGTGAGCGACCACAAGTGAGAAATCCTTAATTGGACGTAGAGCTAGAGGGCAAAAGGAGATTCATCCGAACTCAATAACTTTGGATCAAACCTTGTATTATCTTAAAAATATTATAATATATATAAATTATATTAATTTTAAATTCATAACTCAGAAAGACTAAATCATGAATCCATAAGCTTTAAATCTTGATGCATGAGAAAGGATGATACGTGGGAATACTATTTCATTAGTTTAGTATGAGAATCGAGGCTTATAGACAGAGCGGAGCTAGAATTTAAAGTTTATGGTTTCTGAGTTCGTCACTGAATCCATAACTCGTCTTAGTTAATGGGTTCGCAATTAAATATTTATACATATTTTATGAATTTTCTAATATAAATACAGGGTTTGAACAAAAGCTACTGGGTTCATCAAACCCGCAGTTAATGCTCTCCCTCTGCCCCTGCTTATAGATTGGGGTAAGACTAGAGGAAACAACATGGGTGAGCTAAAAGGTTACTTGGCCAAATTTAACAGCTTTGATTAATTTAAATTCTATATTTGTATTAAGGAATCAATTAAATATATATAAAAATTAAATTTAAAATCCAATTACTAACATTTGATATTGCTATTCTAAAATTTAAAACTTGTAAAGTTCAAATTCTGACTCTCGCCTCGATACGCCATTAACTAAGTATGTGACGGGGTACACATCTCAATCTTTAGTAGTAGCAGTATTAAAGAAGAGATCGAATAAGAAGAAAAAACATTGAAAATTTATAGTAGGCCAAATACATAAGGGCCCCTTAAAGTTATCATGATTTTTCGTTTTGGCACTTTAACTCGGACTTGTTACTATTATGTACCTAAAGTAAGTTAAAACTGGATCTATTGAACACCCATGAATGACATGGCACAACGCGTGTTTCCCACTGTATTTGTGAGCGTGAAATAACATTAGCCTTTACATTATGCTAACAAGGCTCTTTCTTCTTCCCTACATATTTTTACCGTCTTTTATCTCTCATATCTATGGAAAATAAGCTCCACTGGCATCTTTCCTTTCTGAAATCTCACATTCCCTATGAAATAAAATCCAACCAATTCATACAAAATCTAGCATATTCTTATAAGAACAGATTCATACAAATTCAACCCAATTTTCCGATCCTGTCTCAGTATCTTGTTCACGTCGAAAAATCTATGGCTGCTACTATTGATAATGTAACTGACAACATTACAATAATTTTACTGTAGAACCTTACTTTGAAATCTCAAAATGGCATATATTAACACGTAAGCTGCCTGTTATTTACAGTTTCATGGTGATTGATTTTTGAGTGGGAGAAATAATTAATCAACAAATCATTTATTTTGTAGAAGAATTGCAAAGGTCTGCAATGACATTATTTTAGCAGTTGGATACATGTTACTTCTTGAGAATCCATACCCAGGGCCAGAAGCGTTGAGGGAGAGGTGGAGTGGCCGGAGATGATGGTATGAGTTGGTTGGGTTGGCCGGAGACGAGGGAATCAGTAGGTTAGGGCGGGTATGAGGAGGTGTTAAGATAGATTTTCTCTTTATTTCTTTTGTTGTGGCAAAAAATCCATTTTTATAAATTTTGGAGTTGAAATGCCATGTGTCAGTATTTCATTCGTAACTTTGCCACATCATTCGCGTGTAGATTACATGCACTTATATTTTTGACTGATTGTCAAGAAGGTGTTCAATAGATCTACTTTTAACTACTTTAGGTGCCTAATAGGAACAAGTCCAAGTTAAAGTACCAAAACGAAAAGTTGCAACAACTTTAAGAGGCCACTTATGTATTTGGCCTTTATAGTATTAGTATTGTAAATTTCCAGATTTACGCTTTTTATACCTTTACTACCTACTTTTTATTCACAACGCATTCGTAATGATGAAACAAATTATCACCTGCAAGGCTGCAACTTTTTTACGAGGTTTGGTCTCTAGAAAACACATCCTTGGTCCGCCCACAGCTCTTTTATATTTTTCTTCCTTTACATAATAATAGAGTAGGAATAGTTGAATTATACTAGTATGTTTGAACTCATAAAACTATGATTCAAGTTGTGAAATTGTGACATATAGGTTCGTTTACCCTAAAAACGGATAACAATTAAATTTGTATGTAGTTTTAAGGATACGTGGATTAATTCAATACAAACGATAAATTGCGTTAGATTAAACAGATAAGTGACGTAATAGATTGTCAAAGATTAAACAGATAAATGACGTAATAGATTGTCAAACCACTTAAGGAGGGTGATTTCGGACTCAATGACAACCTTAATGAGATGTCCGCCCTCGATCTCGGACTCACAATAACGGAGAACTGATGAACACGAATAAGAACTTTGAATAACAGAGAAAATAAGAGTATATTGCCTTGATATACGTGTTACAGTGTGTCTAATGAATAATCAGACCCCCTTTATATAGTAGAGAAGTTTTACCATAAGTATAATTCTATAAAAGGTAAAAAAAAAAAATTGTTTAACCAATCACCAGGAATATTAGTAAGACTAGTAAATAATATTAATAATTAAAATCAACTCAGCAGTCACAATTCCTCAACTTGTTTCCATTGCGGCGTGCAACATGTTCCCTTAATATAGACTTTTAAATAAGTCTGTTGCGGCGTGCAATCCGATCCCCCAATATAGACTTTTAAATAAGTATGTTGCGGCG